ACTTATCAAGTCTTGACTTTTACCTCTTACACTTGATATATACCATTTTGTTAGTGTAATTATTGGACTAAAAAGGTTATGAATCAAGAGTTGTTGGGGAGATGAAACTGACCAAATACACTTTAGGAGCCCAACTTGACCTAAAAAGTTAACCTTTTAGGTCTTGAGTCATTTTATATATATAAACTATTTCACATCTTCATCCACTTTCCATGTAGGACAGCACACACATGTACTTTTCTCAACAATCTCCCCCTCATGTGTATGTTCACCGAACTCTCCCTCGGACCAAATGTGAGTCCACCAAATGCTCCATCATCCGCATCTGCACCAGCACCAACTGCGGGAACACCAACAGAGTGTGATCGCTTGGCCTATACGAACCATCGGCTCTAATATTGCTTGTTGGGGAGACTCTATATGTGAAACTGACCTAACACACTTCAAGAGCTCAACTTGACCAAAAAGCTTAACTTATTAAGTTTTAAGTCATTCTATGTATATAAACCATTTTGCATCCTCATCCACTTTCGATGTGGGACAACACACATATACTTTTCTCAACAAGAGTAAATGGGTAAAACTCTAGATTACTCATGCACTTTTAAAGAAACAACAAAGAGATATTTATTAAGATTACCCACACACTTTTAGGCAAAAGAGTTTTCTGACCCATATAATTTTAAAGAGTATTTATTAGAATTATCCAAGAGTTTTATCTCTATCAGAATAAAGATCTATTTTTTTCTTCCAAAAGAAACAATAAACATATATCCCGTACAATTTTTCAAAATAAGAAAATATCCGCGGCGTGAACTTTTTTAGGACATTCAAAGACTGTTATCACATAACCGTAGTCGTTGAAATTTCGTCGTCTAAGCCTAAAGTTGCAGTAGTGTACACCATGAGATTGAGGACTCAGTAGTTGAGAAAAAGGAAAAGGAGTTTAATTAACGTCTAATTTACAGAAAAAAAGAGTTTAATTAACGTCTTAATCTAGCTTTTTGTCTGATCGATTTATGATGTTCCTAACCACAATCATCCCTAGCCTTGAACAAAACCAATAAAAATCCACACGAGCAAAGGGTGCGAAGGCGAAGGCCAAAGCTCATTGTATAAATGCTCCCAAAGTTCCAAGCTGTCAAACCACACATGATTCATCTAGTGGACCAGATTCTATTGAATCCAAAAGGCCTAATCACATCCGAATACGACGCACGTGACGTACGACCACGTACGTGGGCGGTGATGCTTTCCACGTGGCACTCATTCATTGGATTGAAGAATCCGCAAAAGCTGTCCCCTGGTGGGCCACCTTTCACCGCTCAACTTATAATAACCTTTGCCAAACTCGTAGGCCGTCTTTTTGCCCAAAATGAGGATCTGAATTCTGAATGAAACGGCACGTAGTGACGTGTACTCATCTCATCATGTCTGCTCATGTTTGCATTGCACCTCATGGATTCATCAGTTTGCCTGCTAGCTTGCGAAGTTTTCAGTTGAGTATTTATTGGGATTGACAATAATGTTTTATTTAAAGTTGAGTATATTTCACCGATCTAAATTTTTAATTTTTAATTTTTACAGTTAAAAATTATTAAAAAATGTAACATTTAATTTTTTCTGTTATAGTTAAAAATTATCAAAAAAATATCATATCTCAGTTTAAATTGAAAATTTAAATTCGCAAAATGACGAAATATAAGTTAAAACGAAATCATGGATACCAAAGCACTAATCTTCTGATCATATTAAGCTATATATTTCGTATTAATAAATAGTTATTAACTCAAATTTAACTCAAAATTTATACTCAAATAACTATAACTTAAAAATGCAACCGAAGAAGCTTTAAATGTTTCTACTCAATATATATATTGTTTACTTAAACGTTAACCTAATGGTTTAAGATCACAAATTGTGAATAGGACTATAAGAGTGCTACTGATAACTAATTATGTGGTAGAGTTGCTGGTTGTATATTATATATATATATATATATATATATATATACACACGTGAATCATTTGTGTTGTTGTTTCAGATCATTTCAGAAGAAGGAGGAGTATATTATAGAAAAATAAGGAGAGATCAAATTTGCACGTTAGCCTGGCTGGCGGCCGGGCGCTAGACTAGTGATCTTGCATTGATAAAGATTGTTCGAGCTAAAGTTAGATGCAATACATAGTTCTTCGTTCATTTAAATTTTTAATTTGAGTTAAAATGTGATTTTATGTGAGAATTTTTTACTGTAGAGAAAAAATTAGATATGACTTTTGTGAGAATTTTTAACTGTAATAAAATTAAAATTAAAAATTCGAATCGGTAAAATGAACGATGCCATAATGTATCTAAGGACGTATATTGAATAATACTAAAAGAAATTAGGTTATTAGTATTGCTATCGTGACATGATCTTGTTCTTTAACATTTTTTTTCTCAATAAATTGTTCATTTGATTTAGCTATTGTAAATATGTATTTTTATATTAATAGTTTTGGTACTTAATTAAAAGTGACAGTGAATTTTTAAAATTTAGTGAAATTAATAATGCGTGCGTTCATTCATCATTATAGCTTGAATTTTTTTATAAAAACAATGATATTATGTTAGTCGTTGAAAATCATACAAAATAATTATATTCTCCATGTATTAGTTTTATGAAATTTTATGTCACCATGTGATAGACATATGATCAATTTTATGTGTAAATTTTATTATTAGAGAAAGGGAGACTCTCTGATACGCATGACTTATCGGTAGATCAGGTTTTTTAAGTGTTAGATGTGTGTATTTTTTGAATTTTACGTGATTTTATGCAGATCTGACGGATAGAAAACTTGATATACCGGTATGTTGGCGTACCAAAGAAGGTCTATTAAAGAAAAATATTACAAGAAATAATAAGTTCATGAAGTCCGTAAAGAAAAAAAAAGAAAAAGAAAAGGCTTGGGACCTAAATGAGCTGGAACCAGTAGTTTTAAAAGCTTGAAAAAATTTAACTAAATTCAAACCTTAAAGATTATGCAAAGCAGATATAATTTGGCGATTGCAAATAACATTTTTTGTTTTTGTTTTATTACTTGTCTATCACTGAAAATTAGAAGTAAAAACTATTTCAAACAAAAGGAGCCACCTTCTCAACCCATCAATATCGTTCGAAAAGAAAAAAGGAAAACGACTCTACTTTCAAAATGTGGCGGTTCTTTGATAATGATTTGCACTCACGTTCCTTTCATAAAAGGAAAATTTCTTTTTAAAAAAAACATGGTGCATTAAACATTCTATAAGCCATCGATCTCGGTGAGACATTTGAAATTGACTAAAGGACCATTTCAGTAATTAAAATGAATTATAATATTATATCATACATCTTTCTAAAATTCAATACCAAACAGAATATTATTTGATTTTTCCATTCCTTATACATTTAACTTGAAATGTTACAAAATAAAAAATACTACTTGGCATAATACGTACAAAAACTTGAGTCCCATTTGTGGTTTGCTGTGGACAATATTAGATGTATTCATGCCACGGATGACTTTTTTTCGTCTCCAGCCAATCAAGATACACTAAACTGGGCCCCATGTCAGACGGGCCAAAAGGTGTTGCCTAATTGAATGGGGTCCACTAACTTTAGATCCGATAAGAAAATAATGGTGATTTCTTAATGAGGCAGAAAGTCGGTGGACCTCGTGTACGTGCCACGTCAGTATTTGATTCGTTTCCACGAAGTAAATTATACCAATTGGTAAGTGTAGGACCCACTCCGCCACTCCTAAGCCGGCCTTCACCATTTGTATATCTGATGACTTGGATGATCGATATTAAAATAAGAATCCTCCAAATCACATAATATAAGCATGCGTCATGATGTAGTACATATGTAGATATACAACTATACATATTTATGTACGTATAAGAGTCGGCTACTATAGTTGATTAACGATAATATTTTATTTTGAGGAAACTGAGGCTCATAGAAGAAAAAAAAGGCATTATATAATTATATTCAAACTCATACATAACAATTTTGAAAGAAAAAATATATACACGTCTTAATTGATGCTCAGTACTTTACATTAAGAAAAAAAACTTGGTCATGACAATTGCAAAAAAAAAAAAAAAAAAAGAGTTTCTCTAGTAGAATCAGGTATTATAAACTGTTATTTTCACATATTTTTGTAATTCGATGTGATTTTGACTATATCTAACGGTTAAAAATTAAGTAGAGAGGACTTACGAGAAAGTTCTAAATAAATAAGGAAACCTAAAGAAGAAAATTGAGCTCAATATCTGTATATAGGCAAACAGTTCTTCTCGTGAATCTTTAAGAGGATGTTTGGTAGAGAGATTCGTTCCTTGATTCGAATCATGATTCGTTGTTCGCTACAGTATTTTCTCTCACAAAAAATTCACATAAATCGAAAATGGTTCGAATCACATAGTTTGAATCATCCAACTAAACGTCCTCTAAACTCTTACCAAATAATAGTAATCATTGTTTACAGTGAAGCCGGTGAAATAGTTGAAAAAAAAGAGGTGAATATTGCATAGGAAAAGGCAAAATAGGCAAAAGGGTAAAAAGAATAGTAAGCTGTAATTAACAGACATATGCATGAAACTAAAAAATGATCGTACAAAAGGTCACCCTACAAGCCCGACTGCACAAAGCACAGGAACACACACAACCAAAAAGAAAATGATGGCTAAGATTGAAAGAAAGGGAAAAAAAATAAGATTATGAATATATTTAAATTAAGATAATTCATTGTTTAGTGTATAACATCACTTCCAAGGCATTATTTAAAATTATTACCAAACATGCTAATGCCCTTTAATTCAGTGAGATGAAATTTTGGTGTCAAATCTCAAGATTCCTCAACTACCACCCACTAAATTAATAATTCCCTTTTTTTTTTCTCTCTCATCAAGTTGAAGAGTACTACTAGCTAGTCTTTGCTCCTATATAAATACTACTCTCTTTTGAACCTTTTCTCATCGATTCCTTTCTTTGCTTAATTAGTTTTCTTCTCTTAGAACTCTTGTTTTAGCTTTGCTTTCGTCTGTCTATTCTCTTTTTTAATTGTATTTTTAATCTCATCGAGATTTTTACCATGGCCACTGCTGAGGTAATTATCACTAATCATATAGATCATCATCTCCAAAATCTCACTTTTTTTTTTTAATGTTCAGTAGTCTTATTCTAAGTTCAAAGATTATGTCTGCTTAATTAACTATATATAAGTTCCGATCTTGAGTTACAGCGTTACTACTTGGCACGCAATACGCAACAATATTGCATGCCAAATGTAAACCACAATAGCAATGATAGGTAGTTCCGGGGTGTCATACGTCAAATTATGCCACAAAAATATTTGATTATTGTATCCTTTATTTTTTTATTAAAAAAAAAGGAAGGTGGCTTTATAGTTTAAAGGAGAGTCAAATGTAAATTTAAGGTTAGACCACTTGATTATAATAATTAAAAAAAATGAATTTTTACTAATAAATTCGAGCCATATAGTAAATTGAAAAACTAATTATTCTGTAGATTTACGATAAGATTATGTCTGCAACTACTTAATTATGATAATTAAGAAAATGAATTTTTACGAATAAATCCGAGCCGTGTAATAAACTGAAAAACTAATTATTCTATGTGAATTTACGAAACTAATGGTCAGTTGATCATCTTCAACTAGATGATCTTATGGGATATTCTCGATCCCTTTGAATAATGTTCTTCTACTGCGCATGCAGGTTGTATCGGTGCAAACAGCCCTCCAAGAGGAAAAACCACAGGAATCAGTTGAGGATAAGGAGATCACTAGTACTGCTGCCACCACAGAAGTAGAGGCCACAGTGCCGACCGAAGAAGCGCCTCCCGCAGCCCCCGAGGAGCCGAAGGCCACCGAAACTGCTACACCGGCAGCAGAGGAGACCACAGTGGCCTCCGATGAGCCTGCCGCGGAGGCTCCCGAGGCTGAAGCCCCAGCCGAGGAGGCCAAGGTGGTGACTGATGAGGAGGCAACAGTTGAGGAGAAGAAAACACCTAGTGAGGAGGAGAAAATAACCACTAGTGCTGAAGAGAAAACGACACAAGTGGAGGAGACTACTCCCAAGGAGAGTTCTATTGAACCGGTCGAGGCTCCGGCGGCGGAGACGGCGGAATCGGAGGTAGTGGAAGCTGAAGCTCCAAAGGATGATCAGGAGGCTACAGCTACTACTGTTAAGGAAGAGGAGAAAAGCACAGTTGAGGCTGAGGAGGAGAAAGTTGTCACCGAGGCCCCAGTTGAGAAATCTGATGAGTGATTGATTAGTAAGAGATCATGGGAATGGTCAATGGTGATCTGAATGATCGGTTTGGATGTTTGTGTCAAGTAGGTCTTATTTTCCGTTGTGGATTTCATCTTCATCAAGTACTTCTTCACTTAAGTCATGTTAATTTAGTTGGTCTAAGTAATAATAATAAGAGATAAATAGGTAAAATAATGGGGTAATATTGTGGGACCAGGATAGAGGGGAAGCTAAAATCATCAATCACGGGGTACAACCAATGCCTGCTTGCCACGTGGTGGACGTGCATTGGTTTTATTGTTATTACAGAGATGCCCTTGTGCTGTAAAAATGTGGGTTTTCTTCGTCTGCTTCCTGGAAGATGCATGTGTGTGTTTCAGCTTTTGATCGAAATTATGTTCTGTTTATTCTAATACATAACAATAAAATATGTAGACGTACCTTTTTTTTTTTTTTTTTTTTTTTTCTTCGGGGGATCGTCACGTAATTTGCATTATTTCGATCTCCCCGATATGTGATGTTTAATTTGCTAATCCTTCAAATATGATGTCACGTAGCTTAGTTATACTACTAAAGAGAACTAATGGCCTCTTGGGAGAGCTTCTTAAACCTGATTTTGACTTTTTAAGTTTAAAAGCTATTTTTTAGAGTGTTTCGAGATCTGTTAGAAGTACTTAAATTTTTTAAAAGAGTTTCGGTTAAAGTTACAAAATACAACTTCTAAATAAAAACACTTTTAAATAGACTTTAAAACTTATATCAGAATTTTATTAAGACATTATAAACTTCATTCCAACACTTTTATTGCTTATTAGAAAATTTAATAATCATTTTAACTCATTAAACTATTGATTTCAAACATTTATTGAAAAGCCACGTGCCCGTTTGGTATTAGTTGTGAAAACGTCTTTCACGTTTTTCAAGAAGAAAAAATGAAACCGGGAACGAAAACATTGTTTGGCCTAAATGAAGGATAAGAAACGGAAATGAAACCGGTTTTTGGTTTAGTGTAATATGACAAAGAAACTGAAAACGTTTTTTTTTTTTCGTTTTCATTTCTGCATTTCCATTTTCTCCTCCGTCACTCCTCCAAGAATGTTGGTCCGCTTTGTACTCTACTTCTCTAATTAATGGAGATTACAATCGATGAAATCGTCATCACCAGCCTAACGCCTTAAGGATCCACCGACTACAGCCACGCCGTCTCTCACTCCGGCAAATTTGTCGTCGCGCGTCGTACGGTTCCCGTCCTTAGGGTGGTGAATTCCT